CCACTACTTAAGTACTGTAATGAAAAAAAAATACTTTGTAACTATACACCTCTAAATGACCTCCCCTTAACACTTTTCTGAATATGTTTGCTTAATCTGGACTCAATGATTGCCTAGTTCTTTGTTATAGACCTGTCTTAGACTTTTGATTCCAAAATCAGGAATAAGACACAATTAGAAAAGCAAACTTTAACTAATATTAATTTTTAATACGAAAAATAATCAAAAAGAAGTGATAGTTAAAGGCCAAACCATCAAAAAGAACAGAGTTGGAGAGTGAAACTGCTGCTGCAGAGGGAATTTGAACCAGATTATCATTATTTTTAAATTATTAAACAGCCGTTTCAATAAAAGGTTTTGCTCAAAGAGATSAACTTTTAAAAAAATAACCGTGCTCCTTATCCAGGAGCAACTTTACTGCACATCTTTGATCTTCGCTGGATTCTTTTAGTTTTGGACTTCCAAAAAGAGATTCTGAACCACAGCTGGACATTATGGAAATTACCATCATCATGGTAATGAGCTCATTCATACTTGATACCAGATGTCCTCAGGTGAAAAATAAAAGCAAGAAAATAAGTGGTTCTGTGGTCCACAAAGCCACTAAATTCATAAACTCTCATCTAGTAAAATAGAATAAAAGAAACCACTTTCTCACCATTGCTGGAGTCAGTGTGATACTGAGTAGGTACTGTGAGAGAATTAATTAACATTTTGGTGTTCTATTATTAGCTGCRCAATTAGAGCAGGACTTTACCACATTGCCAGGTCTGCATTCAGACACTGGACAGATTTTTGCCCATATGATCTGAAGAAACAAAGCAGTGGGAAAAAACAAACAAAAAAATGCTGCAGACTGCCCAAGGGGGAAAGCCTCTAGCTGGTGGAAAGGTCATGTATAAGAATTGAAAGGTAAACAGCTGAACTATTAGATCCAGTTATGAGATACATTTCCAGTCTAAACATTTTTTATTGGATGGATGTTTTAGATGTATGGCACTATCTAGTTTTACACAGATTTTTCWTTTTGAGTAATCCCTACATAAATTAGAATGATGTATCTCGGTGTATTTGTACATTTTACAGAATTCAAAATTTCAATTTATGAGAAAAATAAAAATAAAACAAACATATTTTAATGTACTTACTGTGATGCATTTATTCTCTTGATCCACTCACTAATGCACCAAAGGGCTTCATTTTCATGTGACAAATACTAACTTGAAATGACACTAAAGGAGCACAAGGATTAATTGTTCGAGAGAAGAGGCATTCAGTGTGAGTGTTGCTTTCAGGGGAAAATGTTCAGCGCTTATTTACTTGGTAATTTTCATGTGTGTGATTATTGTTGCATACTTAGAGTGGCTGTAATGAAATCCTACTCTTCTTGGACTTACTGTAAAGTCTAGCCTTTTTATAAATATGTRAGGGAACATTTTTTTACAAACATTTGAAATGTTRCARCAGGTAAAATAAGTACRGAACAYGTCACCATTTTTCTCAGTAAATATATTACTAGAGGTGCTAATGACATGAAATTTTCACCAGATGTTGGTAACAACCCAAGTGATCCATACATACAAAGAAATCAAACCATAAATGTCCAGAAATGAAGTTATTTGTAATAATGTGGAMTGGCACAGGGAAAAAGTATTGAACACATGAAGAAAGGGAGGTGTAAAAAGGCATGGAAAGCCAAGACACCAGCTGAACTCTCTCAGTAATTAGAAAGCAAGCCTGCCCCTTGTCAGTGCAAATTAATATCAGCTGGTTCAGTCCCAAATGATGGCCAGGTATCACACAAGAACCATCTGATGATGGGTAAAAGTAAAGAGCTCTCTCAAGACCTTCACAACCTTATTGTTGCAAAGCATAATGATGGCATCGGTTACAGAAGAATGTCTAAACTTCTGAAGGTTCCAGTGAGCACTGTTGGGGCYRTAATTCAGAAGTGGAAAGAACATTATTTCACCATAAACCGACCACGACCAGGTGCTCCTCACAAGAWTTCTGACAGAGGAGTGAAAAGAATTATCAGAAGAGTTGTCCAAGAGCCAAGGACCACTTGTGGAGAGCTTCAGAAAGACCTGGAATTAGCAGGTACGATTGTTTCAAAGAAAACAATAAGTAATGCACTGAACCACCATGGCCTGTATGCACGCTCACCACGCAAGACTCCACTGCTGAAGAAACAGCATGTTGAAGCTCCTTTAAAGTTTGCTGCACATCATTTAGACAAGCCTGTGTAATACTGGGAGARTATAATCTGGTCAGATGAGACCAACATTGAACTGTTTGGATGCCAGAATACACATCATGTTTGGAGGTCAAATGGCACTGCACATCAGCCCAAAAACACCATACMAACAGTGAAGTTTGGAGGTGGGAACATCATGGTGTGGGGCTGTTTTTCAGCATATGGTACTGGCAAACTTCAAATAATTGAAGGAAGGATGAGTGGAAAAATGTACAGAGACATTCTTGATAAAAATCTGCTTCCATCTACCAGGATGATGAAGATGAAACGTGGCTGGACATTTCAGCAAGACAATGAGCCCAAACACAAAGCCAAGAAAACTCTCAGTTGGTTTCAGAGAAAGAAACTAAAGCTGCTGGAATGGCCCAGCCAATCACCTGACCTGAATCCAACAGAAAATCTATGGAAAGAACTAAAGATCAGAGTTCATAGAAGAGGTCCACGAAACCTTCAAGATTTGAAGACTGTTTGTGTGGAAGAATGGGCCAAAATCACACCTGAGCAATGCATGCCACTAGTTTCTCCATACAGGAGGCGTCTTGAAGCTGTCATTGACAACAAAGGCTTTTGTACAAAGTATTAGATAAATTTCAGTRAGGGTGTTCAATACTTTTCCCTGTGCCATTCCACATTATAACAAATAACTTCATTTCTGGACATTTATGGTTTGATTTCTTTGTATGTATGGATCACTTGGGTTGTTACMGACATCTGGTGAAAATTTCATGTCATTAGCACCTCTAGTAATATATTTACTGAGAAAAATGTTGATGTGTTTGATACCACTGTAAATACTGGTCTCCAAGAGACGYTTGGGAAAACGGCTGCACTGACAGCAATCGCTGAGTTGTTCAAAACGGGTTGAAGCTTTTAGCAGCTGGGATGCACATGTTGGTGAAGCTTATGACTTGTTATGAAAGAACGAACAAAGTTTTATATATGTATTGATATAATTATAATTCAGACTAATAAAAGTTAGGTTAGGAATGCATAATTCATTTTAAGTAAAGATATTGCTGACTTCTACAGGGGTCCTCACAGTGAGCAAACTGATGCAACCTGGGCTCAAACCTGTAGTCTCAGGATTATGAGACAGTAGCACTGACCACCAAGCTACTGCTATCCCACTCTGTTTTTTGGCTTAAATGTGACTCATGTTTTTAAATCCCTATTTGGGTTTATATAAAGTGGAACTGCAATGCTTTGGTCTTATTCCTCTTTACTGTAACTCCACAAGCCCCTCTTTCACACCTTTTCTGAGGTGTGTCTGAAAGCAAATCATTTTGGTGCGGTTTCATTAAATGCAATTGAGGTGCTTCACACCCCGTCCCACTCCAGGTCTCACTCCCAATGATCCTTGTCCACTCCATCCTGTTCGGCCATTTTTGTTGGATAGCGGCTCAGAAACCTTTGATTAAAAAATGTTAACAATGTAAGACTTGTCCAGCCTAACATGTTCAAGCCAGAGCGAGAGGAGAATGAAGACAACAAACTTGGAGAGACGTGAATTTGCGAAGGCAGTTCATAACAGTTTAGCGATTTTATTAAAATGTTGTTGTTCAAAATGTAATAAGGAACAGAAAACAGAAAGTGTTGAAATTAAACTTTTCTGTACACAACAAAATGTATGTAAAGATTAAAAAAGTGAATTTTACAAGACATGTCCCCTTTAAAGTGTAAAACAGTGAATTTTAGCCATTCTCATGTTTTCTAAAGCCAGCCTTGGCAGCCATCTTGCATTGAGTTGACTAACAGTTATAGGAACCCATTCTCATGCCCCCCGCGTCAACATAYTGACGCTTGACCAAGCATCAATATGTTGATGCGGGGATAGCCCCCGCACGTCCGTTCTTTACGAGATGAGGCAGAGGAGGAGTCCCTGAACACAGACCCTAAAATTAACCATTAACCCTGATCCCTCATATTAACCATTTTAATCCCAGACCCTGAATTTAACCAATAGACGCTATGTACAGCCTATCCCTGACAACAATCTCTCAAATTAACCTTTATCCCTGACCACAGACCCTAAAATTAACYGTTAATCCTGGTCCCTCACGCTAACCTCAGACCCGGAAAAGCCRCGGGCGGCAAGGACGGACGCACGGGGTTACTCCCCCCGTGTCAATATGTTGCGAGTCCAACATGAGAGTGTGTTAGTCATAGATATCCTTCCACTGATTTTTTTTACTATAAGTCTCATTAAAATTCACGATGTGCATGAGATATTTTGCCAACAGATAGTCTCAGCTACAAAGTGACAAAGTTTAAAAAAACAGATCCAGTGATCTGAATAAGTTGTCTCAGCGACAAAATCAACCTTATAGTTCAAGTTTTGTAAAATTAATGGAGTTGTAGATATTTTTTGTGAGAGGGGTATTGGTGGCCATCTTAAATCAGGGTAACTTCAAAAGTTWATAAATTTTAGATGTTTATCAAGGCATGCATTTCTGAAAGGCTGCATTAACAAAATTTTCTAATTGCACAAACAAAATTGCTATTTATCTGCAGTTTTATTTTATTTTTTATTATTAACTTGTGAGTGGTCGAATAAAGGCAATACCTGCACTTTTCCCGCCCACACTCTTTGCCGACTTCCACTGCCTCCTCCATGCTTTGTCCACCAACACGCGCTGACTGCAGCTGACAGTCGCGCGGCAGTAGTGAAATGTCAGCCGGCCCTGATGTGCTCAGTCAGAATGACTCGAATGTCTTTCCCGCGGACGGATGAGCGCATCGGGCGCCTCTGATTGGGCGCGTGCAATGGGACGGACGCGCTCTCTCCCACAAGGCGCGCCCGCCTCCCTCAGCTTGTCATCGCCGCTCCTGTTCTGATCAGACTCGCACTGGCCGCGGTCGCCACGGGGCTCTGCGCGCGCGTCTCCTTCTCCAACTTGAAGTCAGTCTCCGCGTGGCTCTCACGATGGACGCCACCATCTATGATATCATCCTGGGAGAGCTCGGGTACTTGAACTGTAGTTTGATAGAGCATTTTCATGACACTTTTTCAGAAAACGCTTCATTGTCATTGCTGAGCACTGATGGTAAGATGGATCATAATTTWTTATTATTATTATTATTTTTTGCATTTGCTAAGATGATTTCCTGTGTTATATTTTACAGATAACAAAGCATCCTTTGATTATCTCTGCTTTATATTATTTTTAAAATCATTTCCCTCATTTYAGGTTTATATTGCAATGCCACAACGGATGAAATTGGAACCTGCTGGCCGCGGAGCAGCACCGGCAGGATTGTGGAGAGACCCTGCCCAGCTTATATTAACGGAGTGAAGTACAACACAACAAGTAAGATGCAATATTCATAATAATAAAAAAGTTTTGTAATTGAAAAGACAGGAGAATTTTGAGCAAATGTTTGAAATCTGTTTTGCAAAATTGCATGCCTAATATGTTATGCATTTTAAGCCCATTAAACTCCATATTTAGTCAATGTGAAGGCATGACAGACCCAGCTGCTGCCTGCTTTACAATTTTTTTATATTGTGGGTGATTTCTACTTGTTTTCACCCTCCTGTTCTGATGGAGAGAAGCAGAGACAGTGACCCATTACAACTGCTGTCAGTAGAACAGCTGCTTCAGAAGGAGCAACTTTAAAGAACTACCATGCACTGACAGTGATCCTCAGCTGCCTTTTTTAATGTAACGTTTGCTTTTTTTTTATTAGTTCAGCACTTAAAATTATTAGTCTAGATGATAATGTTTTTGCCCTTGTTTGTGCGTGGCTGTTTGTCTGTACAGCAACTCATGAGCCATTATAGATTTTGTTAAAACTCATCTATTTTGAGGCGATCCCATTCAAAATGGCTGCCACAGCTAACCGATCTTAGGTAGTAAAAATGGGCATAACTCAGCCACTTTACCAGATTTTAGGTGTGGTAATGCTTGAACACTGTCCCCAACACATGCTGAGATCTAGAATTTGCAATGATTTTTTCTTTGTTGTTGTTAACTATTGGTTGTCAAACTTGTCTTTTAGCAAAATATCTCATGACCCACTAAAGATTTCAAATGAAAGTCTCAAAGTAATTAATACAATGTATTCATTTCAGGGATTACCCTGGACACCACAGTTATTCAGTATTAACCAACACAAAAATGACTATAATTTAAAAAAAAATATGCTCATCAGAGTC